CCCTTCGGATGCTGTGACGCGCGCTGCTGTGGACATGGGTGTGGAAACGTGTTCCCGCTTCTTAAACCCCACGGCCGTCGGACGGATCACGGCCGTCTCGCTGCGGGGCCTCGGCTGCCTGGCCAGGTTCTCAAGCCTGGTGTTCCCTCTTGCGATGACTTCATGGTAAGCGATCCCCAGGAAGGACGGTTTTGGTCGTGACGTCCAGCTTTCCGGAAGTCAGGGTGGGTCACTGGTTGGAGCTTTCTTGAGATTGAGCTTCCAGCCCTCCCGGGTTCACATCAAAGTCCTCGCTCACGTCGGGGGTGGAGATCTTGATGGAAGATGAGCTAAAGTGGCGTGTGAAATGAAAAAAAAGAGCTTGAGTCTGGTGTGGGGCAGCGATGCTTTCCTGGGGTAGCTGGTCCGAACACGGGTCTGAGAGACTGAACAACCAAAACCCTGGGCCAACAGAGCAGGAAGGCAGGCCTCCACCGGGAAGTCACGAGCAGCTGGGGGAGCGCCGCCCCCCAGGGAGAAGTCAGCAGGCTACGTACACAATCACCTACAGGCGCACTTTGTCATTTAAAAAAAACCGTGAAATACATGTCAAAATATAAATAACGCAAGGCGGTTTCTGGGCCAGGCAGCTCTTCCTCCTGGTGGTGAGCAGAGCCTCGTGGGCCAGACCCGTCACCGCGTACCTGACGGCGGCCACACGGGCGACCGTGGTGCCTTGGGCCACGCTGGGCTGGGCGTGGGTGCTGGAGCCAGGGGCGAAGTCGCCCTCCTGCATCTACTTCCATTGCTGTGAAACGGAGAAGGTGATTTAAAAGATGCTCTCAAGAATATTACAGGTGAGAAGTGGCACGAGTGTTGGCGTCCGCCCCTCCCCTCGCCCTGAGAGACGGGCTTCACGGGTCAGGCAGGACGCTGTGCTGTTGTCGCTGGGAAATCAACTTCGTCTGAGCCGAACTGGTCCAGCTGCCAAGTAAGGGAGGGGCGGTCCCTTTATGACGGATACTTTCACGAACGAATAATTCAAGAGGCAGGTCCTGCCCGGACGGGGGCCACCCTGGGACCAACAGCCCGAGTTCTCTTCCAGGCTCTGCCCGGGCGCACTGGGATGCGCCGGCTCTTTTTCCTCCGGGCTTTTACCAGAACGCTGTGTCTACGGGTGTTTTTGGTCCCAGCTGCATTTACGCCTACCCTGTATATGCCGCGTGGCTTTCTGGGCGGCTTCACTGCCCCACGGTTTCTGCCGCAAACAGCACCTTGCTTCCCTCTGCTGCTTGGAGCCCTTCGGGCGTGTATGCAGCGAGCGGAGGGCGCGCCGCGAGGGGAGGGTGTGTGCTGTTTGCAGAGACTCTGGTCAAGTCCCTTCTCACCCTTTCTTCAGAGGATTGTCCAGAGACATGTCTGTTTACCAGCCATTCTGGGAGAGCACCGTGGAGGGCAGGACGCGGCGAGGAGTAGCTCAGAGCCTCGCCCCTACTCATCTGCTCCCGGCCACACGCCGAGCAGCTGTGACTTTGCCGCCTCTGAGAAGTGCAGCCTGTTTCTGACGTCACTGAGGCCATGTTAATCGGGTCCTTCTGAGCGGCAGGTGCAGGGACGCCAAGGACAGACCAGGGTGAGGCCTCGCCCTCCCTGACCTCCTTCTGGGGAGGGTCCCAGTAGGACGAGCCGAGATGCGGCAGGAACGGGGTTTCAGCCTTCACGATTGGGAGGAGGCTTGAGGGCTGACCCCCCGGAGGACCGGGAGGAGGTGGCGTCCGCCTGCTGCTCTGAATAGATCTTGTCAAAACAGCGAGTGCCCGCGGGCACAGCTCTGTGCATGCTGGTCATGGGCCCCGGGCTGCGGCAGGACAGCGTGTTCTTCAGGGACCCTCTGAGGCTCCCCGGCTGCTGAGACCGAAGTTCCCCGGGCGCTGGGCGCTGAACGGGGCCCAGACCTTCCTGCTTCCCCCGGGGAGGCTGGTCCGCAGGGAAAGAAAGTCACCAGGTGCCCCACGAGTGTCCTTTCAGAGCAGCTCTGTAGCCAAGGCTTTTATCGCTGGGAACTCTCGTCCCGAATCACGTCCTGCGGTAGGTCAGGGGTCCGCTGACTACCAGCAGGATCAACAAGCCTCCCTGGACCTGCAGAACGGCAGAACCTTCCCAGCGCCCACGGAGCAACGCAGCCCGAGGAGGGGGAAGCGGAGGGCTGGGCTTCGCGTGGATTCAGGGCAAGAGTCATGGCTAAATCTCTAGCAGAATGCTTCCCGGAGAAGCAGGAAGGAGCGGAAGGCGTCAGAATCACCTCAAGTCTCCTTAAGAAAGGCCGCGGACAGTCTGGGGAGAAGAGGGGTGGCCCTGCGTCCCGGGGCACAGGCGTCTTGCCGACGATGATGTCCGAATGGGCCGTTCCGCTGCAGGTTTGCACCCTGACTCTGCTCCACATTACTTAGTGAAACGACGAGAGACGAAATGAGACAAAGACTTGTTCTGGCACCGGTGTAAGCGGAACGCGGGCAAGTAAGGCTCAGGGACGGAATCGTAAGGGTGACTTCTGTTTTCGTCCTGTTGCCTCTGAAGCTGGCTCACGGGACTTTAAAGGTGGCGCCCTCCCTGCTCCGGGATGAAAGATCAGGCACGTCCACGACTTTGCTCGCTGCCGGGTAACAGGAGCCCCATCAACACTGCAGGGCATAGCAGCAAACTCAGCTAGGCAACTGCAATGCCAGTCCAGCGACAGACAGGACTCTGGACCTGACTCTACATTAAAGCTTCAGCCCCGCCTGCAGCCGGGGGAGGGGGGCGGAGGGGGCGCGATTCTGCTCTGTTCTCCACGCTGAGCACCGGGTTTCTGACCACCAGCCCTGGGCCAGGAGCCTGGGGGAGGGGCGGAGGAAGGGTGCGGAAGATTCCATCTGCCTGCGCTGCGGAGAGGCATCGGGGTCAGTGAACCTGGCACTGGCGTGCAGTGTCTCCCCCGTGGTGTCCTTGTGGGTCACCTGGGGAGAAGGGGCACTGAAAAACTGGCTTAACGTCCCAGGATGAAGATGGTATCTTTTCTCTAAAGAATTCCAGGAAAATACTCACACAGTTCAGATAATTTTATTTGGTGGCAAACAGAGGTCGTGTAAACAGAGAGCAAAGACTGTGCTGTTTCCTCGTGGACTTAGACCAGGGCCAAACCCGACGGGTCGTTTTTGACCTCCTGGAGTATGCAGCTTCCCAGCCTCTGTGCACGTGGCCGCCAGCGTCCCCGTCCCCTTCCCGCCCCGGGCGCCCCCGGGGGAAGGTGCCCCTGCCTGTCTGCAGGGCACTGGGGTGGGGCGGGTCTCGGTCCTGCTAAGGGAAGGACGGCTTTCCCAGTGCTGGACCTCGGAGCGCAGACCCCACTTTGCTGCAGGAAGGGGCCTCCCACTTGGGAAACGGGAGGACGTTTCGACCCCGCAGGACGCGGGGAGTTTACGGGACTGAGGAGAGCAAGCACCCCTCACAAAGCCAAGCTGAGGAAACGTGGGTGCTCGCCCTGTCTCTTCAAGAGTTTACCGTGAAGGGGGCGGGGAAGAGGGAGACGGAAAACATGTGACAGTTGTAAGTGTCGGAGTGCCAGGCACCGGCCAGGATAAACCATGCTGTCAGGACTCAGAATCAGTTGCTTGGGAGGTTAACCAGGATTTTTCAGATTAATCTGAAACTTTATCGACATTTGCTTTGCTGTTTGAGAAAAATGTGTTACAGGTCCTGAACAACTGTTTCTACATGAAATTTTGGACTAAAACTGACAAGTGTAACATACGTATATACATAGAGAGAGAGAGATTTTATGTGTATAACGTCTGACTAGATCCATTGACTGATCAATGGAATTTTGTGATGAAGATCCCGAGCCTTTCTGCTCGCAGCCCCAAGGAAATGAACTGCACCCCTGTCAGCCATCTGTTGGGCCCTCAGATAAACAAGCACCCAGAGAACATTGGAGAGGACTGAGTCTCTCCAAAGCAGCCTGGTCATACGGGACACAGGCTTCGTCTGGGCTGGGATGTGGAGCCTGCTCCGTGTCTGCGGCCCTCCGCCCGGGGGGGGTGACCTCGGGTCGCAGGGCAGGCTCATGCCCGGAGCGGGGGTGACATGAGGAGCCCGGCCCAGCTGCAGGACCTGCTGTCTGCAGCGCCGGGTGGGGTGGACTGAGGCCATGGGGGTGGGGGCACCCCAGCAGGAGGGAGCACCTGGGAAGCAGGTGTCTGTAGACAAGACGCACCCTGGGTGCTCCCAGGGGACCAGCCTGTGCCCCTGGGGTGCTCTCTGCAGTAGTCCTGGTGACGGAGGGTGACAGAGGCACATGACTGAAGACCTAGGGTTTGTTGAGTGAATGTCCAATGTTCACCCCTCTGTGACTGTCCCATCTTTTCTCCCCGAC